TAGGAATTTAACTAGGAGTGTTTGGAATCTCCCAAAAGAATTTGTTGAGAAGGATTAAACCCACATCCTTTTTCGAGGATAATATAAGATTTCTAAATACTAGTATTTGGTATGAATCTGTTTGCCAACTCAAGAATTTAAGAAACAACACTTTATTTTCTGTATCTCAATGTTTTACTCCAAAGCTGCTATCTTGTGAGACTGGCAGAAAATTGAACCCTCGTCATTCTTCCTCTTGCCCTCCCTGTGGTGACTTACATGGGGCCAGGACAACCAGGGAAAGAGGCCTCGGGAAGGCTCTCCATCGTTGACCATGACGTTTACTGCTAAGAAACCATTTACTCTGTTTGGATGGTCCCTTCAAGGCCACCAGCTCTTGAGGCATGAGAATCTGCACCTTGGCTTCCAAATAAGCTGGGTTTTCTGACGACACAATTAAATCTTGTATTTATCAAGTTCAATACAAAGGAAATGCTCGTGCATCCAGACCTGGGCAAGGCTTTGTGATCACTGATTAACTGGGCTCACTGCCCCCTGTCCCTTCTCCCTTGACTACGTCTCTGTCCACTAACAGCAGATTTTGGATGATTTTCACTGTAGCAGTGAAAAATATATAGATTTGCATATTTAAATATAAGTGTTCACACATTCGAAGGAAAATTGTGCATTTGAACACTATTCAGTCTATCAGGAACAAAAGATTTTCTTCTGCATTTCTTAATACCTTTGAACAGAGGCTGATGTCTGGAAACACTGAGTTTAACAGCCTTTCTCGAAAGGCTTTGCATTGCATGTATATGCCATGAAACTCCTAAGTGTTTTATTTATTTATGAGAAAAAAATTACATTTTCAGTTCATAAGTCATGGTGTCTAAGCTAGAAACATATACACTGTGTCTTAGGACAGTTCATGAACGTGTACCCTCTACCGTCATTACAGAGTTTATCAAATAACAGAAATCTGTGTTTGTTTCACTTGCATTTTGGTTCCAACCCTGTCACATCGGAAAGGTTCAGACAGCCTCCATCTTGGTTGTGCCTTATTCCAAATCATACAAGAGTCACTGTCTTCAGTATTCATTCTCAGGACTGTCCTCTACTCAGAACCCAAGTTATATCCCACTGAAATTAGATGTCAAGTTCAAATTAGGGTCTCTAGTGAGATTCTCACACCCAGTAATCCACCCTCCTCCAACTGCTCTTCTTTCCTACCTTTTCCCCACTCAGAGTCTCTGCTGAAACCACGTGTTCACCAAAACCCACTGCCTCTGACCTGAATATTTACAATACACAACTGACAATCTTTGTTCCCATTTTTTAAAAATTCTTTATTAAAGTATATGCAAAATAAAATTTATGGTATATTTAAGTTATAAGGAATGAGGCTGTGTTGTAAACCCATATTCCCACTGCCCAGTGTAAGAAGTAGCACATTGTGATGTACTGTCAATCCCTCTGGATGTCCTTCCCACGTCCTTCACCTGTTTCTGCTCCTTTAGAGGTGACCTTCATCCTGAATTCGTTGTTTATCTCTGCTTGCTTTTCTTTAGTTTTTTTATTACATATATTTTCCTTCCTATGCAATATATTGTTTACATTTCTATTTTAATTTACGTGAAAGGATTCATTCTGTCAGTGTTTTTCCATGACATTATTTTTTGCTCCATGTTATGTTCCTGAGATTCATCAGTTCATCAGTGTAGTTGCCTGTGGCTCTAAGTCTTTCTCTCTCCTCTTTTTTTAACTGTTGTAAAGTGTTCCATTTTGTAAATATATCACCTTTATCCAGTTACCTGTTAGTGGATATTTGTGTTTTTTCCAAGAATTTTTTCTATTTTAGTGTACTGCAATGAACATTCCTATACATATCTCATGGGTCACATATGCAGTTCTTTAGGTGCATACCTCCTGGTTCATAGGGATTGAGATTTTTTTTTTTTTTAAATTTTTTGTGAGGAGGACTAGCCCTGAGCTAACATCCAATGCCAATCCTCCCCTTTTTTCTTGAGGAAGAGTGGCCCTGAGCTAACACCTGTGCCCATCTTCCTCTACTTTATATAGGATGCCGCCACAGCATGGCTTACCAAGCGGTGCGTCAGTGAGCGCCTGGGATCCGAACCTGCGAACCCCAGGCCGCCAAAGTGGTGCGCACGCACTTAACCACTTGCGCCACCGGGCCAGCCCAGGGTTTGAGCATTTTAAGTTTATTAGAAACTGCCAAATTATTTTCCAAAATAGTTGTAACAATTTATGCTGGTACTTGCAATGTACACACATTCCAGTTGCTTCAAAATATCATTAACTCTTTCTATTAGACTCTTAATGGCTCTCACAGTGTTTAAATTTGCATGTTCCGTTACTAATGAGGTTGGGAATCTTTTCACATGTGTATTCAGCATTCATATTCCCTCTTCTATAAAGTGCCTTTACTAGTTTTTTGCTCAATTTTCTATTTGGTGGTTTGTCTTTTTTCCTATCATATGAATGAGGTCTTTATATATTCCAGAAACAAATGCTTATTCAAGGATTTCTTCATCCAGTTTGTGGCTTTTCTTTTCATTGTCTTTATGTAACTATTGATGAGCAGAAATTCTTAATTTTAATGTAGTAGAATTTATCAATCTTATATTTTAAGACTAGTGCCTTTTATGTTTGGTTTAAGATTATCCTTCCATACTCTGACCTCATAGAGATATTCTATTATATTGCCTCCTAAACATTTATATTTTTGCCTTTCACATTTAAGTTTTTATTCCAATGGTAATTGATTTCTTGTATGGTGTAAGGTAGAAGTCCAATTTCATATTCGTCCTTGTGGGGAACCAATTGTTACAGCCTCAAAGATCTATCCTTGACTCCCTGATCTGCTATGCCAGCTCTATCATGATCCAGGTATCCATACATGTGTGTATCAATTTGAGGGTTCTCTACTCTGTTCCATTGGTTCCTTTTCTACCTTTGTACCAATACTATAATTACTATTGCTTTAAAATAAATCTTAATAGGGAAGTTTCCCAACTTTGCTTTTTTTTCTCAAGTGTATCATGGCTGTTTTAGACCCTTTGCTCTATCACATAAATTTTAGAATCAACTTATCAAACTCCAAGAAGACATAAAAAGAATATTTGAGGATTTTATTGGAATTGTATGCAACCAATAAATCAACTTGGGGAAAATTGACATATTTATTATATCCAGTCTTCCAATTTCTCTGTATTTATGTAAGATTACTGTAAAATCTTCCAATACAGTTTTATAATTTTCTCCATAAACATTTTAAAAATTTTGTAATATATTTATCCCTAGGTACTGCACTTTTATACTATATAAATTACGTCTTTTAAAATTATATTTAAAAGTATGTATTGCTGTGTAGAGATATGCAATTGAATTTTATATATTGGCTTTGAATCCAATAAACTTACTAAACTTTCTTATTGATTGTAATAAACTGTGGATGCTTTGGAGTTTTTATGTTATCAGCAACTATGACGGTTTCATTTCTTCTTTCCCACTTCTGATATTGTTTTCCTGTCTTATTTCACAGACTAGGATATCCAGGACAATGCTGTACAGAGATGGTGACAGTGGATGCCCTTTTAAATTCCTTGATCTTAAAGAAAATGTGTCCAATATCTCACTATTAAGTATGGTGTTTTCTATAGGTTCTTTGTAGATATCCTTTATTAGGTGGAAGGAAGAAGTTTCCTTTTCTTCCTAGTTAAGGATTTTATCACATATGGATGTTGAATTAGATAATCATATGTTTCATATCCTTTAATGTGGACACTGTGTCCTGTCCCCTCCGATCCACAGAAACATGAGAATAATGCTCAAGTTCTAGCGTCAACAAACATCTTCAAGGAACAAGCCAGGTTCAGTGTCCCCTTCCATCTGAGTTCCTGCTTTCACCCACATGTAGGCTTCTGTGAACTCCTTACTTTCTTGCTAGCTCAATTTTCTATTTTTTAAAAAGAGATACATTATATTTTATATGGAAATTCTGGTTGTTTTCAGGGTTGGTTGGCTCAGTGTATTGAGTCCACTGTACAAGACATGGAAGTCTTACTTTCTTTTCTGTCAAAATAATGTCCCTCACTTCTTTCAAAGCTTCTCTTGAAGTTTGCTTTCTTTAGATTTTCCTTTCTATTATCCTTTGGAAATTTTGACTTCACTTTCCAGTTGTTTATGTCACTTCCTAAACCTTTGCCACTCAACTTTCCAATTTCTTAAGAGTTTTACACATTTTTTTAAAGATTGAGTTTGGCCAGTTGTATGCATATACTGTTTCGTCATCTACTTAAGCATCTTCTTGTCTTATTTTAGGGACTTGATCATATTTTCAGTTCATGAAGACAAAGGATGTGCTTTCTTGTTTTTCTGACCATCCCAGAATTCTGTAACTGCACATTCCAGTGGCTGAGTGCTTTTTGCAGTTCTTTCGGTAAAGCTGGTATGTTTTACAACTTCACCCTTCTGAGTCCTTTTCTACGTGGATGGAAAAGATATTACTATGGGAAATTTAATAATTTCTTTTACGAACAAAGCTGAGTCCCATGCAATAGCTGTGCAAACTGAGACATTCCTGGCAAAAAATCCAAATCAGAAGGATATCTCATTTTCTCTCTCTCTCTCTCTTCATTTTTAATAAACATTACTGATTCCTCTTACCTTGCCTGAATATTTTCTTTCTTCATAGCATTTATCACCTTCTAATATGTTATATACTTTGTTATTTATTATGTTTGCCGCTTATTGTCTATCTCATCCAGTAGGACGTGAGTTCCACAGGGCGTGGATCTAATCTGTTTTGTGCATGACGAGTCTCACACAAGACCTGCCTAGACAGAACAGGGGCTCCATAAATACCTGTTGAATGAATGAATGGCATTTAACACTTGCATAGGCAAATGGCAAAAAGGAAAAGAAAACTCTATGACTTGCTTTTCTCAAATGGTTTAATATTTTCTTAATCAGTGCTGTTTATTTTATGCTTTTAGATATCAACATGGCAGGGGAACCCAAACCATACAGACCAAAACCTGGAAACAAGAGGCCCCTTTCTGCACTTTATAGGTAAGTATGCGAGCACTGTTTCACTACATGTAGTTATGAAAATTTCTTGCTACGTTGAAAGGCAATGTAACCTATAAGGCAAAAAACATTTTGAAGAACAGTCTTCACTGGCATACAATACATCATGCATCACTTAAAAACAGGGATATGTTCTGAGAAATGAGTCATTAGGCAATTTTGTGATCGTGCCAACATCATAGAGTGTACTTATGCAAACCTAGATGGTATAGCCTACTACACACCTAGGCTGTGTGGTACTCATCTTATGGGACCACTGGTATATATGTGGTCCTTAGTCGACTGAAACATCATTATGCTGTACATGACTGTACAACAAAATGCTGACGGTCAACGTATAAATATATCACGCAGCATTGTCAGGGATATTGGATGCCTAACTTTCTCATCTCTGCTTAAACAATCCACAAGATATTTTTCTAATAAAATCTAATAAAAATCTCTAATGATTCTACTTGGCAAGTGGTGGAAAGTCAATATTTGTTGACTACTGAATGCAATGTGCTGTAGGTGTTTTACATACATTGTTTAATTTAATGTAATTTTTACAACAATCTTGCAATGTAGATATTGCTATTCTCATCATACAGATCAAGAACCTGATATACGATTTCTTAGAGATTTTCCCTAGGTCACAGCATTGGTAAATGATAGCGCCAATACTCAAACTCATGGTTTCTGCTGCCACACTGAATTCTTTCCACTTGGTCATTCAGCCTCTTTTGTTACAAAGCACATGTATATCTCTCTTCTCCAGAGAGATATATCTAATTCCTTTAACCTTTCCTGATATACTTCGGTCTGAGTCAATCTAATATTCTGATCTTTTCTCTCTGCATGCCCCAATTTATCAGTGTCCACATGTATAATCTCAATTCCAGGTGGCTAGAGTAGATTATATTTAACATCTTTATTGTTCTGTATATACTGCCATTAGGTTTAAAAAAATCCCTTGATTTGGGGAAGAAGACCAGAATAATTCATGTAACTTTTGGTTCCATGAGTTCTTTAAAAATAGCCACTTTTGAAAAAAAAAGTCATGTTTTGCTGTTAAGCCATATGTCCCACTTCATGTACTTTTGCCATTGATTTTTGTACTGTGAGTGCTGACTTTGCACCCATCTCTATTAAATTCCCTTTTCTTAGACTTAGCCAATTGTTCCAGGCTATTGAGCTCTCCTATCATCCAATTTATTCGGTCCTCTCTCAGATATGCATCGTTCCATCAGTGTCCACGTCCAAAGAGCTAATGTAAGTGTCTAGCAAGGCCCTCTTTTTTCCTGATAGCGTTTGGATAAAGGAGAATTGAGTTATACATGTTAAGATTCATTATGTTCTGATATAGTATAGTAAGAAGAGTTCTCAAAAGATAGCTTGGAGGCATTTCCTTTTCTTTGTTCTCTGAAAACTAGCACATCTCCTTCTCAGCCACTCACAGCCTCATTTCCTGAACTATAAAACAAGAGGGTTGGAAGTAGATGAGTTCTAAGGTCCTAGTCACACCTAACACCCTAGGGCTCTCTAACATATGACCGTTAGAGACTTTAAAAGATATATATTGGAAATATAACTTAATTGCTCTCATTATTTTGGCTGTCAATTTAATTTTAATAAAAAATTTTATATAAAAATGGAAAGCTACAGGACTTAACAATGTTGATAATTGGTCATGAAGCAGTATTGATGTTAACGGTCAGAGATAAAGTCCCCAACAAAAAGCAAATGATACTTTCTGCACCTTTTTTTGAGGTAAAGGGCAATGTTTATAAAACTGAGAAATGCAAATTATTTTTTGGTCAAATTTATTTTTAAATGTATCCATAGAGCTGCAGCTAATGCAGAACATTTGAAAAGTCATATTTTCAAATATTATCAAAACAAGCTGGCAATAGCTTTTCTTCTCATCAAAGAGTTACTACTATCTGTGTGATGATGTTAATTTTCATATTTTCCCTGTTCTTGGAGTGTTTTGATTTTTTTATGAGAATAGAAGCTTATGACAAGAAGCAAATGTCTTAACTGTTATTTCTCTATTACTAAGTTATGTTGAATTGTGAATTCAAAAGAATTAGAAGCAGAAAAGTTCATTTAAATCTGGTATGTTGTATACAAACCACATTAGTGGGGAAATGCTTATTTTTCCTGTTTTCATCTGTTTACACAAATGAAGGCTGAGGTGCACTGAAATTTCAAAATGGTAACAAAGAAAACAAAAGAGAATGAACGTGCAGCAGAGGAGGCCCTGTTGTATACCCTTTCCCATTCTTATGGAATGGGAAAGCTTATTAACACCTTACTTTTATGTAGACAAACTGCGTTTTCGTGGCCATTATTCATCTGTTCACCACAGTACTCCACAAGGTTGGTATTACGTGCTTTGCTTTATAAATGAGAAAACTAAGTTCCCGAGACAATACAGGATTCGCCCGAAGTCGGGTAACGAGGTTAGGAACCGAACTCTGGGTTTCAGCCTTCAAGTCCACTGATCTTGCCACTAGATCACAGCTCCCCAAATTCTCTCCCCTGCTACCAGCTAAACAATACAATTATAAAAAGCAGAGATTCCTGCCCACCCGAACCACAATCAGTTATATTTCTGGCCATGATTTCCACGCCAGCAGGTGGCAAAGACTATACACTATACACAGCATAAGAACAAGAGTGACCCCCTATTTGCGTGATCATAGGGCACAGATTTTGAGCATCAAGTTCTTTATCTAATATAATAGTTGCATAATTTTCTTGACAGAATACAATTGCGTAATTAAGATGAGAGCACGTGGCTCGGCCGGTGCAGGGAATGTGGTAGCAGCTTGAAAGGGCTGGATTCTGCTTTCCCACTCTTTGCATTTTTGGGTCTGTTTCCTCATCTGTAAAATGAGAGAGCTGGAATAATTTCATTTGCTCATTCATTCATTCATACATGCAAGACATATGTACTGTGTGTCTACTATGGTCTAGGCACTGTGGTAGCTGCTCTTCTGCAAATGACACAGAAAATACCAAGGCTGCTTGGCAAGGAGAGAGCACAATGAAAGAAAAGTGGAATATTTTTATGGCTATTGATCACCTCTGATTAGCCTTCATGCTCTAAACTGCCATGTCTCCATCTCTATTCACTCCATTGGGGATGTAAATTATCTGCTCTCAGACTCTCTTCTTTACCTATGTCCATTTTATCTCCATCATCAACCACAAAGTAGTATTTACATGGAATATCCACTGAGGCATGATTTTGTTTTGTTACTTCTTTTAATGGGATTTTTAATTTAGCCAAACAACCTTCACTAAGTGTTTATCGTGTGCCTTAATTAACATGGTATATATAGAAGGCACAAAAATTTTTTAAAAACGTAGAGAAGCTTCAGAATATTTACTGTCTTATGCATGAGTTAGATACACATATAAATAAGGAATGTAAATGAAGTATGCATACAGTTCTGTAAGAAAATAAATGAGAGTTACTGATTCTGCCTAGGGGAGGGGAGTGAAAATCTGGATGACAATCGAGCCTGCTTCTAAATGAGCAGGCATTCATTCAGCAGACAAAGACAAAGAAGGGCATGCCACCAAAGAAGACATGTGCCGGGGCAAAGGCACAGAGATAAAAAGAACATCTCACGGTGGGAGCTAGGATAGCCTACTTGGTGGAGAACGAGTGACTGGAACGTCATGGCAGCCTGGGGTGTAAGGATCCATATGCCTGCTTATCAGCTTAAGGAGGTTTGGCTTTTATTCTGCAGACAACAAGACACCATTTGAATATGGTGAGTGATGGGAAATGGAGTGTAAGGAAGGGTGAGAGTCACAGATATGTCCCAGGTTTCTAGCTTAGGCAACTGGGGGAATGATCACGTGGTTCCGATAGAAGAAATAGGAAGGTCATGGCAAGCAGCAGCAGGCTCAGGTATAAGGTTGGGGGAAGGAAGCAAAAAAGAAATCATTCCAGTCTTGGACACAAATTCCTGAAGACACACAATTCATTAAAATAGCACTTATACTAAAAATGTCTCCTTTTAGAGGCTATTTGTAAATGAAACATAATTAATCATTTGTGAACCTTCCATAAATATTAGATCTACTCCTAATGGTGAAGAGCAAATCCATTCTCTAGGGAAAATATTGTAATTTTTAATAAATTGCTGCTTCAAATGTGCTATGTACTAACACAGTGTCTATAGTGTTCTAAAATAATAATTCTCCCCCAGGAAGTAACTTTCCCAGAATGCCAAGTTCCAATTAATGCTAAATAATTGCTAAATGAGAATAATTGTGTGATGGTTTTGCGAATGCTTGTAAAGGAGACAGACCTTTCCTCTCTGATGTGAGTAAAGCCAATAAGCAGAGAACAAAGGTACTATTTATCAGAGCTGAACAAGTACAGGTTTTCATTCACGTAGAGGAGCCCTCCCGTCACAGGGAGCACAGCTCAGTAAGACACGTAAAACATACAGTTTCATCCCACTCACTGCATGGATATTACTAGGTATCATGCCCAAAGATGGTTTTTTGGCTGTTATGCAGATGCCTTTCATAGCAACCTTCCCACCCCACACAGATGACCGTAGGAATTAAGATTGTTACTGCAAGTAACTTCAAGGCTCCTTAAGATTGTCAAAGGATAACCTATAGTGTCACCATTATAAGATCATCACAATGGTGGTGGTAGCCATGAATGTGGGTTGTATTATGAGAACTTCAATGAACAAAAAATTTTCTGAGCGTGGGCCAAGTAAGGTGACTGCAGCAAAATATCTCTGGTGATTTGTTTACCATTGGACCTACATGAGTTCTCTTACCATTCTTTATGGTGACTCTGGAACATCCTCAAGTGACCCAAAATGTCCCTTACAACCTTGGCAATAGAAACAAAACAATGGAAGCTAATTTCAGGTAATGGTAAATAGCAAAAATCAAATATAGAGGAAAAGTACCCTGGACATTTCCATTTCGCTGACTTGTTCTGTTTGCTGAGAAATTTT